CCCAATGACTCACTACCTCACTTACTTTTAGTTTCGTTGAGAAGTATGTTGAAAAGTATGCATTTTTCCCCTCAACATTTCTTATTTGTATACTCATAAATGCATTTAAAACATTAATCTCATAACATTATTTATTGCAGTTGTAATTATTGTTATTTGCAGTGTAAATTATTTAATCTGACTGGTAGCAGCCCTATAGTGTATATTGAATTTATTGATAAATTGTAATAATTTGGTTAAAAATAGGCCTTTGTAAAGGTAAATATGCAGATTTAAGTATGTAAAAGCTGATAGAACACTGATGAAAATATTGCTTCAGAATAAATAGTTTACTCCACCAAAAATCTCAGTGATGCAGTTATTTTGCAGGGATATTTTGTATGGAATATTGTCTGCTGACATGAAAAGTTCACTGTATATCGTAGTAATAAATGCCATTTATTACAGCAATTATATTTTGTTTTCTTTTTTATTTATACACATTAAATATTACATACTGTATATGTATGTAATAAAATGTGTATTTCCATTACAGGTTTAGGTCTTAAATTTCATATAAGGTGGTATTAAAAAGGTCTTAAAAAGTCTTAAATTTAACTTGTTCATGTCTGCAGAAACCCTGGCAGTTTGAATCAAATCTAGGTTCTTAACTAATGCGTAGCTCATTTTGGAGTGTGGAAGCAGGTTACCTTATTTCAAGTTTCATTTTCTTACAAGCACTCTTATAGAGTTCAATTTGAGCGCAGATTGCTATATAAGAAGTGCTTTTTGCTATGCAAGGCAAAGAACCCTGTAACATCAAATTGCTTTTCAAGCAACTTTCAGGAAACACAATGGGCCTTCTCCCATATTGAGTTGAAGCCCCTTGGATTGAACATTCTTTCTAGGTCAATGTGATGAAAATGATTGGAGAATTTTGAGTTGTTTGAGCTGAGAGGGCAACCAGTGTTGATGGATCTTTTGCGCACCAGAGAATTGGCTCACCTCCTCTCTTTCCTCTTGAGTACAGATTAATCATCTGTCAGCTTCTCACTGTTAAACTCACTCCACTTCAAGTGGAATAGATTTTCCTCTTCACATGACTAAGTGGTCAGTGTGCAGAAAACGCACCTCTCATTTCAGTCTCTTTCATTGAGTTCAGCCACCTATGTGTGCGATGTGGAGCACCTGTAGTGGTGCAGATAGAGCTTCCTCTTATCTCTCTCACTCTCTCTTGCTCCTGAAACCCTGGCTTCATTTAAGGAGATTGGGTTATGTAACCCTAGGTTATTTTTAGCTATGTTGTAGAGTTTGGCTTTGAACTAAACTGCACAAGCGTTTAAAGTAGTTCCACAGAAGAGGACCAGCAACCTTGTGTCTGTAACTGAGATGCTGCTTTGCTATCAGTTTAAGATAATTAACTTTACTTACTGTTGGATGCTTGCTTGGTCAAGGATGCCGTCACAAAATATTGAAATATATGTTATAGAACCAAAAGTATGTGGACCAGCAGAAACCATTTACATTACAAGGAAGCTGGTCCTCCCAAACATTTTTCCTCTTCAGTACACCAGACTTAATAAAGCATTTCTTTAGGACTGTATGGAATAGAAAAGCTCTCTACAAACTTTTTCTACAAAGTTGGAAGCATACAGTTCTCTAAAATTTGTATGCAGTATGAAAGTACTATTTTCGAAATTAGTGCTAAATTAATTAAATTGACTAGTTGGTAAGCTCCCCGATCTGTGTGTGTGTGTGTGTGTGTGTGTGTGTGGGGGGGGTTTTTTTGGTAGCAGAGAGTCACATTTAAATGGTTAACACATTTGAACTCCTTATTATTTTTATCAATTTAATTTGATTGTAGTAATTGTAGAAATTTCGTTTTATTCATGTTTGTATTTAAATTCTTTGATTTTATTTTGTAGCTATTTTATTTATTTATTTTTTGTCTTAATGACTGATGTACTTTCAGAATGAAAACGACTCACTAGCTTGGCTGACCTTCCTTCACAGAGTTCTTCAAGTCTCATCTCTGTCATTTCATCAATGGAGTGATGTTATGAGTTCTCCATCTTTTAGAATTGTCTCCTCTCTTTTTGTTTTACAGCCTCAGACAGCAGTCAGAGGTTTCAGGAAACATGTTTCGCGTTTGCACTAACGCCTCAGCAAGTTCAGCAGATCAGCAATTCAATGTAAGTGTGGGGGGATATTAAATTACAAAGTTAGACAAGGTAACATGGTTCGTGTGCTTGAAATAACCTAACTAATTTTGAGCTTGTAATACATTTCAGCCAGAACTGCAAAACTGCTGAATTTAAAACAGCTGTTAAGTAGTTTATCTTGTCTTGTTCGATATCTTCCTCTTGTTCTTACATAGCAGACAATAGTGCTTATCACACGTGCCCAAGCGAGCGGTCCTGTAGAATGTTTGGTATGCTTTTCTCTCCTACGCTCTGTCACACATTCCTTTACTCCCACCCTCTTGTCTCAAAAGGGACATCTCTGGGACCAAATGTGACTTCACCGTGCAAGTACAGCTAAGGTATGATAAGACAACAGTTTTCAACAAAAGATCTCCAAAGCTCAGGAACATTAAAAAGGAACATTTTGAGACTAAAAAACATATTTTAAGTTAAATAATTAAAGAGTATCAGTTTACTTGCTACCATTGTTAAAGGGATAGTTCACCCAAAAATGAAAATGTGATGTTTATCTGCTTACCCCCAGGGCATCCAAGATGTAGGTGACTTTATTTCTTCAGTAGAACACATATGATGATTTTTAACTCCAGCCGTTGCAGTCTATCAGTCGTATAATGCATGGCAATGGTAACAAAATCTATGAGAGTAAAAAAAACATGCACAGACAAATCCAAATTAAACCCTGCGGCTCGTGACGACACATTGATGTCCTAAGACACGAAACGATCGTGCGAGAAACCGAACAGTATTTATATAATTTTTTTCCTCTAATACACCACTATGTCCAACTGTCTTTGGGCGCGCGCACGGGTTATGACCAAATCTCATGATAATGTAAAATGTTGTTTTTAACATTTAAAATAGCAAATTCTTTGCAGTTTAAAGTGCTGTGAGGTTGAATATTGTGTATTTGAATGTGCTGTGTCTATTTTCTGATTTTCTGTGTTGAAGCTAACCTACCCTCATCTTTAGAGCTTTCTTTTGTTTGGGTTTATGAGAGTTTTGGAAGTCTTTCCCACACATTCCTAAAGGAATCTCAACACATATTTTTCAGGTTTTGCTTATCAGAGACAAGCTGTCCTCAGGAAGATCATTTCCCACCCAACCTTTGTGTGAAAGTGAATGGAAAACCCTGTAACCTCCCTGTGAGTCTGGCTTTATTTTCACAAATCAGCAGGAATCTTTCAGTCTATCTGCGAATGACAGACAAATGAAACAATGATTAACACATGTATACTCAAATCTGTGGTGTAAGGAAAATATTTCATTATTTTTTATACTCCGTTGAACCATTTTAGAGTCATTAAATTACATAAAAAATTTTACAAAACCGACACAGATGAATACAAAGAATTTGGCACTTTCTTGTTTGATTTCCAAAAGATTTCTTGTTTTCAGCATCTTACAGCCTTTTCATCAACATTTTTGACTCCTACAACAAATTAATATTTCAGATAGAAACGTTTATCTGTAGTTCATTGTTTCATGTGCTGGAGTGGCTGTTTATCTCAATGCCTTTTTGTGGTTGTCCTCAGGGATATCTTCCTCCAACCAAAAATGGAGTGGAGCCAAAGCGGCCGAGCAGACCCATGAACATTACCTCCCTGGTTAGGTTGTCTACAACAGTTCCCAACACCATTGTTGTGTCATGGACGTCGGAAATCGGAAGGGTAATGAATGTAAATCTGTTTGAAATCTGTTTCTGAAAACCACCATCAGAATGTGTTTTAAATACTTTGTTGTCCATACAGAGTTACTCCATGGCAGTGTACCTGGTCCGTCAGCAGTCCTCCTCAGTTTTGCTACAGAGACTACGGTCAAAAGGCATTAGAAACCCAGACCACTCAAGAGCACTCAGTATGTTAACTCTGGACTTACAACAGTTGAAATGAACCTTAATATAGCTGAATGTTAACCAGACAACAAGTGCGAATTTCTTCCACTTCAAGTATTTTGCAACATTTTCTTTGGATATTCAGGCATTCACCTACCAATGCTCCAATTCAACACCTGCAACTATTGTTTTAAAGGGGTCATATGATGCGATTTCTCTTTGGAGTGTTACAAGCTCTTGGCGCATAAAGAAGATCTGTAAAGTTGCAAAGACTAAAGTCTCAAATCCAAAGAGATATTCTTTATAAAAGTTAAGAGTCAGCCACACCTACCTAAAACGGCTCATTCTAACACGCCCCCACATACCTACGTCACTATCTGGGAAGATTTGAATAACGCCGCCCAAATGTTCACGCAAAGAAAGAAGGCGTAACTTTTATTCTCGCTGTAGTATTGTTGCCGCCGCCGCCATGTCACAAAATAATGTTATTTTTAGCAGCATCATATGACCCCTTTAATTAAGTGATTATCAAAATAACGCTTTTTTCCAATAACCTACAAAGTTACAAGTCTTACTTGAGCTACCTGTTAGCTGTGTGTGAATATGATGGGAGATATTCAATGTTGTAAATCAAGTGATCTGATTGATTTTGTGTTCTGTGCTCACTCTTCAGTCAAAGAAAAGCTTACTGCCGACCCTGACAGTGAGATTGCCACTACCAGCCTGCGAGTCTCCTTGCTCTGTCCGGTATGTAATGGAGCATCAACCCTGAAGAAAGATTTTATTCTCTTCAAGGGGTTCTGTTAAACCTTGTAACGTTCCTTTGAACACAATTGCATTAATCATTTTGTCAGAATAATGAAACTGCTTCTTTTCACTGAGGCCACCGAGCTCTGCTTATGACTCTCTGATTTCCCATATTGTGTTCTTTGTCAGTTTAATATTTTTGAGCAATGGAGAATAAGCCACAAGCTAGCAGTTTAGAGATAAGAAACTTCTCTAATCATCATTCAGTTATAAAGTTTGAAAGCAGTATGTGGCATTATAATGTATGCTGACATAATGTGTGTCTATCTGTGTGTAAATGAACAGCTGGGAAAGATGCGGTTGATGATTCCCTGCCGAGCGCTCACCTGCTCACACCTGCAGTGCTTTGATGCTACGCTCTACATCCAAATGAATGAGAAGAAACCCACCTGGGTGTGTCCGGTCTGTGACAAGAAAGCCCCATTTGAGCACCTTATTCTTGACGGGTCAGTGCTACTCTCACCTTTTACACCTGTGATTGTGGGCCAATCCATTTTTGAAATATCAGCTAACCACGAACACGTTGAATTCGCCGTGTTTGGATGCCGATGTAGATTCGCAAAGCCATGAACATTAATAGCAATGCAACGTCCACCACTGTTGATTGTGTGTTTAGGCTTGTTCGGGCTGCATCGGCGCTGTGCGTTCCGGTCGGTGTGCCGCGGGAGTGATTGCAAAGCAGATGCTCTTTATGCTTTTGGATTGCTTTCGCAGTGCTTTGGTGTCGTGCGCCGATCGGTCTGCATTGCGCCAATGCATCTCGAACAAGCCTGTTGTGTTTGGCGCTGCCATGCTAGTGTTACTGAGAAAGATGAGACGTATTCAGTGACGTAAAACCTGGCTCTGTGGTGGCTCTCTAGCCCTTGAAAAGGCAAACCGGTTCTTAGGAGGTTCGCCAGTTGAACCAACTCCAAACCGGCAATAGCACTGGCTTTGAACTAGCACCCGGTTCATGCTGGTGGAAAAGGGATATTATTGATGCCAAACTTTTGAACAGCAATGTACATCGTCTAATGTGTAATATGAGCATTTATGCACTACCGTTCGAAAAATTTGGGGTCGATAGGATTTTTTAAATGTTTTTGAAAGAATTCGTATGCTCACCAAGGCTGCATTTAATTGACTAAAAATATAGTGAAAATGGTAACATTATGAAATATTATTACAATTTAAAATAACTTTTTTTTTTCTTTGAATATATTTTAAAATGTAATTTATTCCTCTGATGGCAAAGCTGAATTTTCAGCAGCCATTACTCCAGTCTTCAGTGTCGCATGGTCCTTCAGAAATCATTCTGATTTGGTGCTTGAGAAACATTTCTTATCAATGTTAAAAATTGTTGTGCTGCTTAATATTTTTCTAAAAACCATGATAATTTTTTTTTCAGGATTCTTCAGTAGAAAGTTCAAAAGAAAAACATTTATTTGGATGGAAATCTTTTGTAACATTATAAATGTCTTTACTTTCACTTTTGATCAATTGAATGCATCTTAGATGAATAAAAGTATTATTTTCTATTAAAAAACGTTGAACAGTAGCTTATGCTGTCAAAACTGGAAAAAGTCTTGAGAAAGTGTTTTTTAAGGGCGCGTTTTTCTGTGTACAGGTTGTTCATGGAGATCCTGAGCAGCTGTGTGGACTGTGATGAGATCCAGTTTAAAGAAGATGGCAGTTGGGCTCCTATGAGATCCAAGAAGGTGGTACAGGAAGTGTCAGCCTCATCAAATGGCATTGAAGGTATTGTATGTTTGTTATGAAGACTATAGACAGTTGTCTCAAGTCTATATATAAAAAAGTGTAGACATTTGCAATGCATACTACATTCTTTTTGATTCAGGGAGGTCTGTTTTGTCAGTTGTGTCAGACCACAGAAACAGTTCGTCCCACGGCAGCAGCAGTAGCAGTAAGAAATTGGAGGTGATTGACCTGACGCTGGACAGCTCCTCTGATGATGATTATGATGATAATGATGAGCCTCCTCCTAAAAGAGCCTGTCCATCTCTATCACCAACCTCCCCACCTGTCAACAAAGGGTGAGAATTTATATTTATTTTGAACAGTATGTTTATTGTTTTAACATTTAAAACCCAACATTTTTGTGAAATGTTTTAAAACCTTTTTTTGAAAAGTGTATTTGTGAGTGATTATAAATGCCACATTGATTCATATTTTGTCATATAATGCCAAGATATTCACATTTTTAAATGTGATTTTTAATGTTTTGATAATTATTGGAGCCAATGTTTGTGTTTCTTAAAATATTATTTTAATATCTCACTAGTTTTTTTTTTTTATAATTTTGTTATATTTTGCTGCAGAGTGTTAAATCTGCATAATCAGGCGTCTCCATTGGCACGGGCTCCCAGCATGCCAGCAATGGAGACAAACTATATCCCTCCCCCTCCTCTCATTCAAGACTACCGTCACTATTACCACACACCCAATGACCTCTCAGGTACCGTCATCATTCCACTAAAATAATATTTCCTCGTATTTAATAAAGAATGTTCCTACCAGCTCATGCTCACTTGCCTTGGTTGTCACTACCATTCAAAAGTTTGGGGTCTGTAACATTTTGAAAGAATTTAAAATTTCTTTTATGCTTCCAAGGCTGTTTTTTTTTTTATAAATTACAAATACAGTAAAACAGTATTGTTGTGAAAATTTTTTACTATTTTAATATATTTTAAGATGGAATATATTTCTGTGATGACAAAAATGTGCTCAAGAAACATTTTTTATTATTATCAATGTTGAAAACAGTCATGCTGCTTAATATTTTTGTGAAACCCATAATACATTATTTTTTTCAGGATTCTTTGACTAGAAAGTTCAGAAGAACAGCATGTATTTGAAATGGAAATCTTTTGTAATATTACAAAAGGCTTTACATCCACTTTTGATCAGTATAGTTTAGATGAGTTTAATCATTTTTTTCCTTTGCATAATTTAACACATAATTTGGTAATGTAATCTTTGTATATTAAATCTGGGATTTCTTTTTATTTAATCCAATAAGCAAAGATTTAGGATTTTAAAAATATAAAAACGTAACAAATTTATGCCAAACAACTTTTTTTCTTGTTCGACAGATCTGAATTTCTTCTCATTTTTACAAGGGGACAATCACCAGGTAGGTTCACGCAGCACATCACTGCTAGAGGGCAGCATTGTGCTCGAACAAACGCCTATGTTTAACCACATCTGGTGCCGAATTAAATGGATTGGATACACAATTAACATATACCCCCGGTTTCACAGACAAGGCTTAAGCCTAGTCCTAGACTAAAATGTAAGTCTTAGCTGTTTCAACTGAAAGAAACTTGCACTGATTGATCTTAAAATATATCAGTGCCTTTGTTTTGTCTCAAGATGCACTCCAGTAATGTTTTTTTCTAAGCATGTTTATAAAAATTACTTAAATGTCCTAATTGAACTATGGCCTAATCCTGGTTTAGCCCTGTCTGTGAAACTGGGCCATGCATTTTTTTTCTTAAACATCAGCATAGCCTTAAATTGTTGATCTTTATCCTCTCCACAGCATTATAACATGGTCATGGCCGCTGCAGCTGCCGCCTCAGCTTCTGCCTCAGAAGACCACGAGCTGCTGTTGAACCGCTTCATGCCCTATGGTTCCTCTCAGCTCTTCCTGGAGCAGTCGGGGATGCCGGCGAGCAGCTCGCTAGTGCCAGCCAACGGCAGCGGAGGCAGCAGCAGCGGAAGCAGCAGCAGTCTGGTGTCCTCCAGCAGTCTGAGAGACAGCCACCCACACAGTAACGTGTCCCGCTCGCACTCTGATGCCGCCGCCACATCCGTAATATACGGCTCTATCCCTGATGTAATTTCACTGGACTGACCACACCGGGGCGCCCTGCAAACAGACAAGCCTTTATCACAAACAACAGGAGGGCGCAGAAGGAGCTTTGTGCACTCGTGATAGGATTTAGATGTGAATTGGATGGAAGGTGGGGAGAAAAAAAAAGAGAACAAAGACTTTTGTAAAGAGAAGAATAAAATTGCTGTGTACAGAGAAGAAAAATCTATTTTCAGTTTTACTTTTGTATATAAACAATAGGACGCTGCCTACCCAGTGAGTGACTTCAGTTGGTATTTTCTCTATGGATACTGAAGATGTTTTTCACTGCTCTGTGTGTTGTTCCTTGATTTATCTTATTCTGTACCTTTTATACTTTTTGCTATTTTATTTCACTTCAAATAATTATTTCAGTCAAAGTAATAGAATGGCAGTCATCTTTATAATTTTTTTTCTAAGACTCTTTCCTAGCTGGCCAATCAGAGCAAACCTTGCTTTTTCAGACCGATGAGCTTTGTAAAAATTGACGCGTTTCAGAAAGGCGTGGCATAGAGGAGAAACAATAATGTACAGTATGTGGAAAATAATGTGTTTTTTGAACCTTAAACCGCATAAACACATTTCATTACACCAAATACACAAAATAATGTTATTTTTAGCAGCATCATATGACCCCTTTAATTAAGTGATTATCAAAATAACGCTTTTTTCCAATAACCTACAAAGTTACAAGTCTTACTTGAGCTACCTGTTAGCTGTGTGTGAATATGATGGGAGATATTCAATGTTGTAAATCAAGTGATCTGATTGATTTTGTGTTCTGTGCTCACTCTTCAGTCAAAGAAAAGCTTACTGCCGACCCTGACAGTGAGATTGCCACTACCAGCCTGCGAGTCTCCTTGCTCTGTCCGGTATGTAATGGAGCATCAACCCTGAAGAAAGATTTTATTCTCTTCAAGGGGTTCTGTTAAACCTTGTAACGTTCCTTTGAACACAATTGCATTAATCATTTTGTCAGAATAATGAAACTGCTTCTTTTCACTGAGGCCACCGAGCTCTGCTTATGACTCTCTGATTTCCCATATTGTGTTCTTTGTCAGTTTAATATTTTTGAGCAATGGAGAATAAGCCACAAGCTAGCAGTTTAGAGATAAGAAACTTCTCTAATCATCATTCAGTTATAAAGTTTGAAAGCAGTATGTGGCATTATAATGTATGCTGACATAATGTGTGTCTATCTGTGTGTAAATGAACAGCTGGGAAAGATGCGGTTGATGATTCCCTGCCGAGCGCTCACCTGCTCACACCTGCAGTGCTTTGATGCTACGCTCTACATCCAAATGAATGAGAAGAAACCCACCTGGGTGTGTCCGGTCTGTGACAAGAAAGCCCCATTTGAGCACCTTATTCTTGACGGGTCAGTGCTACTCTCACCTTTTACACCTGTGATTGTGGGCCAATCCATTTTTGAAATATCAGCTAACCACGAACACGTTGAATTCGCCGTGTTTGGATGCCGATGTAGATTCGCAAAGCCATGAACATTAATAGCAATGCAACGTCCACCACTGTTGATTGTGTGTTTAGGCTTGTTCGGGCTGCATCGGCGCTGTGCGTTCCGGTCGGTGTGCCGCGGGAGTGATTGCAAAGCAGATGCTCTTTATGCTTTTGGATTGCTTTCGCAGTGCTTTGGTGTCGTGCGCCGATCGGTCTGCATTGCGCCAATGCATCTCGAACAAGCCTGTTGTGTTTGGCGCTGCCATGCTAGTGTTACTGAGAAAGATGAGACGTATTCAGTGACGTAAAACCTGGCTCTGTGGTGGCTCTCTAGCCCTTGAAAAGGCAAACCGGTTCTTAGGAGGTTCGCCAGTTGAACCAACTCCAAACCGGCAATAGCACTGGCTTTGAACTAGCACCCGGTTCATGCTGGTGGAAAAGGGATATTATTGATGCCAAACTTTTGAACAGCAATGTACATCGTCTAATGTGTAATATGAGCATTTATGCACTACCGTTCGAAAAATTTGGGGTCGATAGGATTTTTTAAATGTTTTTGAAAGAATTCGTATGCTCACCAAGGCTGCATTTAATTGACTAAAAATATAGTGAAAATGGTAACATTATGAAATATTATTACAATTTAAAATAACTTTTTTTTTTCTTTGAATATATTTTAAAATGTAATTTATTCCTCTGATGGCAAAGCTGAATTTTCAGCAGCCATTACTCCAGTCTTCAGTGTCGCATGGTCCTTCAGAAATCATTCTGATTTGGTGCTTGAGAAACATTTCTTATCAATGTTAAAAATTGTTGTGCTGCTTAATATTTTTCTAAAAACCATGATAATTTTTTTTTCAGGATTCTTCAGTAGAAAGTTCAAAAGAAAAACATTTATTTGGATGGAAATCTTTTGTAACATTATAAATGTCTTTACTTTCACTTTTGATCAATTGAATGCATCTTAGATGAATAAAAGTATTATTTTCTATTAAAAAACGTTGAACAGTAGCTTATGCTGTCAAAACTGGAAAAAGTCTTGAGAAAGTGTTTTTTAAGGGCGCGTTTTTCTGTGTACAGGTTGTTCATGGAGATCCTGAGCAGCTGTGTGGACTGTGATGAGATCCAGTTTAAAGAAGATGGCAGTTGGGCTCCTATGAGATCCAAGAAGGTGGTACAGGAAGTGTCAGCCTCATCAAATGGCATTGAAGGTATTGTATGTTTGTTATGAAGACTATAGACAGTTGTCTCAAGTCTATATATAAAAAAGTGTAGACATTTGCAATGCATACTACATTCTTTTTGATTCAGGGAGGTCTGTTTTGTCAGTTGTGTCAGACCACAGAAACAGTTCGTCCCACGGCAGCAGCAGTAGCAGTAAGAAATTGGAGGTGATTGACCTGACGCTGGACAGCTCCTCTGATGATGATTATGATGATAATGATGAGCCTCCTCCTAAAAGAGCCTGTCCATCTCTATCACCAACCTCCCCACCTGTCAACAAAGGGTGAGAATTTATATTTATTTTGAACAGTATGTTTATTGTTTTAACATTTAAAACCCAACATTTTTGTGAAATGTTTTAAAACCTTTTTTTGAAAAGTGTATTTGTGAGTGATTATAAATGCCACATTGATTCATATTTTGTCATATAATGCCAAGATATTCACATTTTTAAATGTGATTTTTAATGTTTTGATAATTATTGGAGCCAATGTTTGTGTTTCTTAAAATATTATTTTAATATCTCACTAGTTTTTTTTTTTTATAATTTTGTTATATTTTGCTGCAGAGTGTTAAATCTGCATAATCAGGCGTCTCCATTGGCACGGGCTCCCAGCATGCCAGCAATGGAGACAAACTATATCCCTCCCCCTCCTCTCATTCAAGACTACCGTCACTATTACCACACACCCAATGACCTCTCAGGTACCGTCATCATTCCACTAAAATAATATTTCCTCGTATTTAATAAAGAATGTTCCTACCAGCTCATGCTCACTTGCCTTGGTTGTCACTACCATTCAAAAGTTTGGGGTCTGTAACATTTTGAAAGAATTTAAAATTTCTTTTATGCTTCCAAGGCTGTTTTTTTTTTTATAAATTACAAATACAGTAAAACAGTATTGTTGTGAAAATTTTTTACTATTTTAATATATTTTAAGATGGAATATATTTCTGTGATGACAAAAATGTGCTCAAGAAACATTTTTTATTATTATCAATGTTGAAAACAGTCATGCTGCTTAATATTTTTGTGAAACCCATAATACATTATTTTTTTCAGGATTCTTTGACTAGAAAGTTCAGAAGAACAGCATGTATTTGAAATGGAAATCTTTTGTAATATTACAAAAGGCTTTACATCCACTTTTGATCAGTATAGTTTAGATGAGTTTAATCATTTTTTTCCTTTGCATAATTTAACACATAATTTGGTAATGTAATCTTTGTATATTAAATCTGGGATTTCTTTTTATTTAATCCAATAAGCAAAGATTTAGGATTTTAAAAATATAAAAACGTAACAAATTTATGCCAAACAACTTTTTTTCTTGTTCGACAGATCTGAATTTCTTCTCATTTTTACAAGGGGACAATCACCAGGTAGGTTCACGCAGCACATCACTGCTAGAGGGCAGCATTGTGCTCGAACAAACGCCTATGTTTAACCACATCTGGTGCCGAATTAAATGGATTGGATACACAATTAACATATACCCCCGGTTTCACAGACAAGGCTTAAGCCTAGTCCTAGACTAAAATGTAAGTCTTAGCTGTTTCAACTGAAAGAAACTTGCACTGATTGATCTTAAAATATATCAGTGCCTTTGTTTTGTCTCAAGATGCACTCCAGTAATGTTTTTTTCTAAGCATGTTTATAAAAATTACTTAAATGTCCTAATTGAACTATGGCCTAATCCTGGTTTAGCCCTGTCTGTGAAACTGGGCCATGCATTTTTTTTCTTAAACATCAGCATAGCCTTAAATTGTTGATCTTTATCCTCTCCACAGCATTATAACATGGTCATGGCCGCTGCAGCTGCCGCCTCAGCTTCTGCCTCAGAAGACCACGAGCTGCTGTTGAACCGCTTCATGCCCTATGGTTCCTCTCAGCTCTTCCTGGAGCAGTCGGGGATGCCGGCGAGCAGCTCGCTAGTGCCAGCCAACGGCAGCGGAGGCAGCAGCAGCGGAAGCAGCAGCAGTCTGGTGTCCTCCAGCAGTCTGAGAGACAGCCACCCACACAGTAACGTGTCCCGCTCGCACTCTGATGCCGCCGCCACATCCGTAATATACGGCTCTATCCCTGATGTAATTTCACTGGACTGACCACACCGGGGCGCCCTGCAAACAGACAAGCCTTTATCACAAACAACAGGAGGGCGCAGAAGGAGCTTTGTGCACTCGTGATAGGATTTAGATGTGAATTGGATGGAAGGTGGGGAGAAAAAAAAAGAGAACAAAGACTTTTGTAAAGAGAAGAATAAAATTGCTGTGTACAGAGAAGAAAAATCTATTTTCAGTTTTACTTTTGTATATAAACAATAGGACGCTGCCTACCCAGTGAGTGACTTCAGTTGGTATTTTCTCTATGGATACTGAAGATGTTTTTCACTGCTCTGTGTGTTGTTCCTTGATTTATCTTATTCTGTACCTTTTATACTTTTTGCTATTTTATTTCACTTCAAATAATTATTTCAGTCAAAGTAATAGAATGGCAGTCATCTTTATAATTTTTTTTCTAAGACTCTTTCCCTCAACCATTGTTTGATCAGCGAGGGAAAATCATGTTATTTAATGCCATTATCCTGTGCAGGTAATTTATTGCTTTTAAGTTATGTAGGATGTATGCTGTACAGAAGCATTCCCTTATGCCAATACAGAATCTAGCCACGACATGCTTCAAAAGTCGACAGGGGTCACGTCTTATTCCAGTTGCGCATTCTTTCTCTTCCATCACCACATTAAGTATGTAAGAAGCGGAGTTTGGTTTCAGTGCCCAGTTTTGCTGGTTAGTTCCTGAGGTTAAACTCTTGTACTTTTTTCATGATCTCTTATCCTTTGATGTTGTTTGTCTGAACTAAACCTCAAAAGATGAGGTGTGGTTCGCAAAAACAGCGCTGAGGGTATCAGACACTATAGCATACCTCATTTAGTTTGTTGCAGATATGACCAGAGTGATGTTGCAGTAGCCGTAGTGCAGACAATAATTATTTCCTCAAGACAGGAATCTTACAGAAGTGTAATATCCCACGCCAGCAGACCTTCAGATCCAAATTTGGTCCCAAGATTCCAGCTATTGAATGCTAGTTGACAGCTTTGTGTAAAAATGGCTAAACGCACTTGCCATTTCCATTTGGTGTTTCCTTCAGTGAATGGCGTTATTCCATTTTAAATGTCGAGAACGCCATGTATGAAATGTCATTTTCTCGAGGTCTGTGTGGTTTGGGCTTCAGGTGGGCTACAATTGAGATTTAGCTTTATAGATTTTCAAAGTGTGCTTGGAGGGTGACCTTATTGCAACATAATCTGTGCTGTCTGTTTTCGTCTGTTTAAAATTGAATTTATTTATTTTATCTATACATTATATTTTTACTATGTTTGATCATGCGTTACTTTCATGCATTTTGTAATTATTTCAAGAGCTCTTAACACTTGCTTTGCATTGTACAAGTAGCTAATTACGTGTCCTTGTCTCTCTTTCTCTCATATTTGTACTATATGAGACATCGGAGGCATTAATTCCACAATCATACTTGCTGTGTCACATTCAACTTTGGTTGAAATGAAACCGTTTAAAGGATAAAAGCCAGCTGTGTGTGCACATCCTCTGGCTTTATTGTTTTTGATTTGTCATTGATTCTTGTGCATTAAAAAAAGGGTTGTGGAACAGCTAATGTTGGGCCTGGATGAATGTTAGCACACTTTTAATCTCTTGATGACAGCCAGTACACAAGAGTCCACAAACCTTTCTACATGAGTGATTTTTGTCTTCAGTGTTGCAAATTAACAATTGGATTGATGAACCCATGCTTGTTTAATTTATATATTTTACCTTTGCACTGAGTTACATGATAGCACACAAAATTGAGACCGCCGTCATTCTGCACAAATCTCCCATTTGACTTTGCACTGAAATCATACGTTTCATGTGCCCACTGATCTGCTATGTCCTTGAAATATACCACTAGACAGTCGGTCTGTTAAAGCTGTACCAGTAACTGGCAAGTATGAACTCTCTGCCTTAAGTTCTTCTTTTACTGTATGGTACGCTATGAGAGAAACCATTATGTACAGGAAACCAATACCAGTTTGTACAAAATATGATATGAATTATTTATTATTTGAATTGGGATACATTGTTTACTTAATGAATGTTACTTGTTTATGTAGAGAGCGGTTTAGCTGTAATAAAACAAATACATTAAATCTTTTCTATTTCTGTCTTATCTGTATTTTGGTCTTTTTTTGACTTCTGGGTGCAGAAAGGGGTGGGGGGGTTATAATATAAGTTATATTATAACTTATATAATATGTTATAATATAAGGCTGTACTGTTAGCAAGATGTTAGCCCTAAACTGCTGGATGATACAAGTTTGTTAAATTGGTAGGAGTGGGTAATGTGAGCCAAAATTCCTGGAGTAAGTTGAGCCAATTGCTCACCTCTTATGATTATAAAGTATTATTCTACTGCAATTCTACATTGTTTCATTAATTTTAGACCAAATGTTTTTGTATTATTACCCATATTAAAACCCATCTTTTCTCCTTGGCCTTTGACACCTGATGTTGACATTTTCTTTATTTTATTGTGATGTTTTATGACTCTTAAATTGTTTTATTTGTATTTTATGCCTTGTATGAGTTATGTATTTTATGTTTCTATTTATTTTTTTGTACAGCATTTTGGTCCAATTCGGTTGTTTTAAAGTGCTTTTTTTATATATATAGAACAGTGTCCGTCCCCCAACATCATGCTCTGTCAAATGGGTTTGCGCATTTTTGTGGGTCGTTGCTACCGTCGCCACCGCGCCAACGTCTATTTTCTCCACTGTGACCAATGTGGCTGGAGAGAAGCTCTGCTTACTCAAGTTTCCTGCCGGACATTACTGGCTGGCCTTTTATCATTTGCAAAAAATCCTGGTTGCTTTTGTTCTGCCCATGTTGATCCTTTCCGTGTCCTATTTGTTGCTTCTGAGATTTGTGAGAAAGCGAAATCTGAATAACGTTCATTCAAAGCGGACGATTCATGTCACCAAATCTATCACAGTTGTGGTTCTTTCATTCTTTCTTTGCTGGATGCCGAACCACGCAATTACATTTTGGGGTGTTTTGGTAAAGTTGAACGTGATTCACTGGGATGAAGCGTATTATATTGTCAATACTTCTGTATTTCCCGTGACTGTTTGCTTAGCTCATACTAATAGTTGCTTAAATCCGTTTATATATTGTCCTACGAGAAGGGCATTGAGAAAGAAACTGAAAAATTGTTTGTCAAATATTGCCCCTTGGTTATTAAACGGGTCTTTTCAGAAATCGAGGCACGCATGAGCCGCGAAATAAATAAAATAATTATTCATATGCAAAATATGTATTCTGTAAAAAAATATTTTTGAGGGTTTTGCCATTTCAACTCATAACTATTTTTGAAAAATGGTCCAGACAACAAGAAAATGTAAGTTTATTGGCCCTCAACTAAGCTGAACGTTGAATGAACTAGATCACTGTTGTTTCAGCTCAAAAACGCATGTTGAAACAACTGCATCACACCGAAAAAAAATAAGATAACAAAAAATTGTAAGGCAGCGGGCTAACAGTTTTTTTTAAAGTTGACTCAACAAATTGTTATTTTTTACTGTGTATATGTATGTAGAATATTTATATTTTTAATTAGCTCTCTTTTTGACACAATTGATTATAAAATGATGCATTATTAATTATTATTATTTTAGTTCAGTAATTATTAGCATCAGTAATTATTCTTAAATGGAATTTATTAACTGATATTAAAGAACCAATTAATGATTAAGCTGAAAATTATGGGTCTTATATGGGTCAGGGTCTTTAATTTAAATAATGTCATCTTTTTTTTACAAATGAAAAATGAAAAAATAAAATGTATGCATGTTTGAAAGTGACTATTAAAACAACAGCAGTCTGTCTTTTCAAATACTAAAAATATTGTAAAACATACATATCCCCAGTTGTGAAAAAGGTTGACATAATATGAATAAATCATTATTGATGTTATACACTTCAGACCATAATTTCACATAACAGTGGGAGAACTCCAAATCAGCTGACAGAAAGGGAATATCATGCACATCACATGGATTCCTTGTGAACCCCAAAACCCATGAAAGACATCTGTGTCAGTACCTGGACAAGAGTTTCCTAAAAAGGGCAGAGCAAATAATTTTAAAGAGGATGACTGAAAAATCACGCAAAATATACAATAAAAATAATTTATCACAACTGTGAACATTTATATTTTATATTGCACATGTAAGACTATAATTATGTGACTCAGCACACAAATAGCTGTCCGAAAAATATGAATAGATACTGCTTTAAATGTAATACTGCCCTAAATGATTTTCCGTGAGCAGTGCACAATTTTTGAGACGCTCCAACAGGGGCTGCTGTTTAAATGTTGTACATTATGGAAGTCAGCTGACATGGGCGCCAAAAAAGTGCGTCATAGACACGCAGCGCGGCGCCTTCACCCTGTGTGAATTAAATCGGAGCTGGCAATGCCTGGATTTGATTTTCCAGCTATTTTTATTGTTTAATCTGTGAATGGCGCCTAAACAGGACCCTAAACCTAAATTTCAAGAAGGTAAGATTCGCTATAGGAAAGCTTTGTCTCCTCTAACGGAGTCCTCAGTTGTTCAGCGTATCCTCTCATTCAGCCGCGCAAAGGAAGCGGGCGCTGCCACTGCACAATGGCGCGTGTACACAGCAAGATGTAGACAACAAGAAAATGTAAGTTTATTGGCCCTCAACTAAGCTGAACGTTGAATGAACTAGATCACTGTTGTTTCAGCTCAAAAACGCATGTTGAAACAACTGCATCACACCGAAAAAAAATAAGATAACAAAAAATTGTAAGGCAGCGGGCTAACAGTTTTTTTTAAAGTTGACTCAACAAATTGTTATTTTTTACTGTGTATATGTATGTAGAATATTTATATTTTTAATTAGCTCTCTTTTTGACACAATTGATTATAAAATGATGCATTATTAATTATTATTATTTTAGTTCAGTAATTATTAGCATCAGTAATTATTCTTAAATGGAATTTATTAACTGATATTAAAGAACCAATTAATGATTAAGCTGAAAATTATGGGTCTTATATGGGTCAGGGTCTTTAATTTAAATAATGTCATCTTTTTTTTACAAATGAAAAATGAAAAAATAAAATGTATGCATGTTTGAAAGTGACTATTAAAACAACAGCAGTCTGTCTTTTCAAATACTAAAAATATTGTAAAACATACATATCCCCAGTTGTGAAAAAGGTTGACATAATATGAATAAATCATTATTGATGTTATACACTTCAGACCATAATTTCACATAACAGTGGGAGAACTCCAAATCAGCTGACAGAAAGGGAATATCATGCACATCACATGGATTCCTTGTGAACCCCAAAACCCATGAAAGACATCTGTGTCAGTACCTGGACAAGAGTTTCCTAAAAAGGGCAGAGCAAATAATTTTAAAGAGGATGACTGAAAAAAAAAAATGTTGATTGCAACTTTTCAGTTGTAAGAATACTGAACATTTAAAAGGCATTATGAGCCAGTTGGCCCCAAAATAGATAATAATTCTAAAACCGTACAAGACTATTTTGTTACCATCAGCTAAAATGGATCTGATTTATGATAGTTATGGACAAGAGTTTTATGAACTAAATTGAATATATATTTCAATATATATAGATATTTTGATGATGGTTCATTTAATTTAAACTGTTAATTTAAAATAATATTTTAAGAATCGAAATTTATAGCATCACACAGACACTAGAATACTCACTGCCATTTTTTAGATACCCTATGGGAAAGCTTTGTCTCCTCTAACGGAGTCCTCAGTTGTTCGGCGTATCCTCTCATTTAGCCGCGCAAAGGAAGCGGGCGCTGCCACTGCACAATGGCGCGTGTACACAGCAAGATGTGTATTGAAAAGCAGTTTTAGCTGAGCAATGCTAATTGCCTTTTTGTTGAAACGAAACATTAGCTGTTGTCTATGTAGCCCATTAGCTTATAGCAGGGCTTGTTTACAAGAAGCTCTCATTATAAAATTGAAGTCCTGGCGGGAATGGTTATATATTGCCATTCATAACATAATGCTAGGAATATTAACTCAGAGCTGTTTTACAATTATTTACGTTGTTAAAGACATGATAGAGGCTGATTCAACTCATTTAACAACCACTAGCGAGGTCCGATAACTGAACGAAGCGTTCGTTAGAATCGAATCTTTTTGAACATGGTAACGTTACAAAGGCCGTCTAAATGAGTAGTTCATGAATAAATGGTTCAATTCAACAACTTGGTGATTAAATGAAAAAAAGGATCGTGTCTTTCGAACGTAACTGATTTGTAATGAGCAGATAATAAGAGCATTCGTAACTTTTTGGTTAAAAATGATCCCAAAACAATTATTGAGCAAATACATAACCAATCAGTGTTCAAAACTAACTCCTTACTTTAGCCCGATTCACAACGGTAAGCTTGTAATAATGTTTTATAATTTGAGTGATTCGGGTCGTTCGTCTTTGCGTCATTACGTCACGTCTGTATACATAAAGAAGGAGTCCCGGGGCCCGTTTTCGTACCTCGCTTAATACAGCTGAGATGATTTGAAAGATGTCAGATTTTCTAATAGTGATAACTGATCTCTGGCTAATTTGATTCTTCAAGCGAATTTGCGGATTTGATTTAAAATGTCTGGATTAAGTTGTCTAAGATTACTGCGCGTTCTCTTGTTCAACGTAAAGGGCAGATGTATCGATACTCGAAACCACGATCAGCAATGCAGCGATTGTCTGGCGGAAGACAGACATATAATTAAAAAAGACACCTGACGAAAAGCTCGACAAATTTCTGGACCTTTATAAGGAAACAGCCAAGTGAACAAAACTACATGCATGTTATAATAGATAAATAAAATGTGCACTGTTTTTATTTACTTATTTTATATTTTTTTTACATGATTCCCAATTATTTATATTCACGATTACTAGTATTTGTACAGGCTTTACATTTTTAGTTCAGTGTTGTAATTAGCAATTCATGTAATTTTATCTTTGAAGCAGATTTGTGATGTGACAGCATTAATTAAAGATTTTTAAAAGGGTTAGTTCACCCAAAAATGAAAATTCTGTCATTAATTACTCACCCTCATGTCGTTCTAAACCGGTAAG